AAATGAAAAGGAAAAAAAGAAAAAAAAGAAAGAAAAAAGGAACATCAAATGACATTGGAACTTCAGTCATTGAATTCTTCCTACAAGCTCTCCCCACAAAAAATGTATATATCGGTAAAGAAAAAAAAATGATAAATTACCAATTTTTCCGACTCGGACACAATGGAATCATTTTTGAGCAAACTTTCTTACATTGATTCCTAGAATGGTACGATAACAATGGATTTATATTTGATCTGTAAATCCGAGCATTATTTATTTATTTTTGATGATCGGTTCAGTTTTTCTTGAGAATTTCATATTGAATATCATTCCCCAGACCGATCAATGATTATACCATTTTTGGAATTTACATCGTTATTTGGAATCTGATTCAATATTTCAACAGGAAATATAAGTTCCTTAATATCGAATCCACTGCCTTTAATCTGTGTCCTCTCACAGGATATAATGAAAAATAAAATGTTATTAATATAAAGAAGTTGCTGGGATTACAAATATGTTGGACATTTTAACTTGAAACATTGGTGTTAATTTCCAGATAACGTCCATTGTATAATTCTGAAAAAGATACTAAACAGCTAAATGACATAGCTTGTTTCCCAACCTGTTTTTTTTTCTTAAAAACCGGAGCTAATTCTTGTATCCTTGATCCGGGATTGATTGATTAATTTGTTTTAAGGTTATTTAAAGCCAGAAAATATTTTGGGATTATAAGAAGAATTTTTCTTTTTAGTGAGTGGGCAATTTACAATTTTTTTTTAGAATAACAATGATATTTCCAGACACAAGTCCTACTATTTACCCCATAGATAGATAGATAGATAGATAGATAGATAGATAGAGAGAGAGAGAGAGAGAGAGATAGATAGATAGATAGATAGATATGACCAGTCGTAGATAGATAGATATGCCCAGTTATAGATACATACATCAAAAGAGTAGACTAGCTGGTTAATATTCCATGATTATGATTTATTACATTAGAAACGTAATTCATCAGACCTACAAATTTGACAGGACATGAGGATTGATATATATATTATATATTATAATATATATATGAATTATAACCATGGAATATTAATATTTGATTATGATTTATTACATTAGAATCTTAATTCATCTGTCCAAATTTGTAGGACATTGAGTTCTCTGAACCTGGATTCTATCCTTTGGAAATTTATATATATATCCTGGACATTATATATATATATATATATATATATGTATATATATATATATATATATATATATATGTATACCATAATATTATATATATATATATATATATATAGAGAGAGAGAGAGAGAGAGAGAGAGAGAGAGAGAGAGAGATGGATGGATGGATGGATGGATGGATGGATATAAGTCCTGAAAGACGGAACGCGTCACAAGTAAAAGATTTTCCACTTTGTCATAAAATTTCCCCAGTAGATAGATACAAAAAACGATTGAGATAAATATATAGATATGCAATTAATATATATCTAATAGTTGTATTCTAGGGTCGGTATTGATGGATTGATTTTTTTTTACAGCTCATCGACCTTTTGTGGGTTATTTAAAGTTGAAACATTTTGGCATTGAAGGAAGATGTTTTTATGTTTGTGAGTGAATAATGCGTAAACGATTTTTTGAGAATAAAAATTATTTTCCCTATACATGTCCTACTATTTAACCCATAGACGGGGATATTAATTCATATATTTCCTCATGGTATTTGCGCATGAGTGAATGTAATGCACTCGACTGAAATTCGAACTCGTCTCTCTGATTTCTCATTCCGAGCCGCTATCCTTTATGTGACACCCACCGGTTGTCGTAGCGCCAATATGTGACGTCCTCTGGTCGCGACGCCAATATGTGACACTGCGCTGTCGGTCCATGCGAAGCTGTAAGTTTTCTTCCACCAGCGTTTGGGGTTGACTCCTTGTCGCTGCCACCAGTCTGTGTCCTGGTCGTTCCCAGTTCGATACCAGCTTTGTCGGAACCAGCTCACTTCCAACGTCTGTTTACCGAGGTAACTACTTTGATCTCAAGTCTAACCTATCCACGTTGTGACTTTGATCTTAGGTAGACGAAATCAATCAGGCGTCGGGCTGTAGTGCAAGCTGAATCCGGGGTGGAGGCGATATCGCACAGTCGTAAGTAAAAGAAGCAATAGAACAAAACTCAAGAGGTTCAAATATGTTGAGAAATAACAAATTATCTTTATCCGTCTGTTATATACAGGAGTGTTTCTCTCCCAGCCCGTTTCTATGGATTTGTGACACTTTTGCATTTCTTAAGCGAGTTTTAGTATCATAAGTCGTTCGTCAATATAACTTGCTTTTGGTAGGAAGTCGAAGTCAGAAGAGCGTGGTATTTCTCGGTCAGCTTCTGCGAGGCAACACTTTTACTGAACTCCATCTCCATCCTCCTAGACTCTTCCTCTCTCACATTGGTATCTCATACCAATCCCCTCAGTGGGTGTTAACAATTCTCCGTCTTTCTCATATATTCACCTCTGCCTATCACCCATGGTACCACTTGACGAAGGATCTCTCGGCAGTGTGGGTGTGGCTAGATTGGCCCTCTTAAAATTATTATCCAGAATTTTGTTTACAAAATACTTTTTTTCTTTTCCTCCTTCGGCCAAACCCCAGATTGCCAAATAATTCTTATCACATCTTTCATTTGGGGAAACTTAAACAAAATTTCAGTAGAACCTTAAAAAATATAGATTTACTTCTTTATAATCCTTTTTACAAATTATTTCTATCGCAAATAGAAATAAAGTTATAAATTTTTTAAAGTACACACGAACTTTATGGACGCCCTGTACATATATATATATATATATATATATATATATATATATATATATATATATATATAAAGAAATGGACAAAGTTCTACAATTATTTTAAGACATTTTTAACATTTTAACTTTCTTTTTCTCGGACATTCAGGCCGGTAAATGTTATTTAATACTGTTTATTACAAACAGAGCATTCACTTAAATATTTGTATCTATAAAAAGAATGTTAAACATAAAATTGTCTTTATATATATATATATATATATATATATATATATATATATATATATATATATATATTATACGTGTGTGTATGCTCATGAGTGTGTATTCTGTATATATGTATAGTCAGTGTTATTTAAAAAATGTATTGTATAAAACAATGGACTATGTAAAAAGGATTAGAGAGAAGTAAATCTATATTTTTTAAGGTTTTATTGAAATTTTATTTAAGTTTCCACATGTCCTCCATCATTAGCAATACAAAGAGCAATACGATTTTGCAGTTCACGTAAAACATTTGCCAACTGATTTACAGTAAGGCCTGAAATCACATTAGTTATTTTAGCTATACTTAAAACTAGGTACATTAAACGTTATAAATTTTTTTAAAGATTATTTCTATCGCAAATACAAATAAAGTTATAAAATTTGTTAGATCATAATTAATGAAAACAGAATTAGAAAAAGGGTATATAACACCATAATACTGCTGTGCATAAATTACAAGACAAAAAGTTTTCAATTTGCTTTGTTTATTTAAAATCACACTAAAATTACTACACTGTATAAAATATTACACCACAATAGAGCTAAACAGTTCAGTATAAACTCCATTTGAAGTAAATGAAGGTGTTATTTGATGGCACAATGATTTAGTAATACTGTGCTTGTGCCTTGCTTCTTATCCATAAACAATTTGTGAAGCTTCAGTCGTTAATTTAATTATTCTTTCCACATCCTAGTAAATGTGTAGGTAAATTTGGCAACTCCAACGTCCTTCTATTCATTAGATCCTTTCATAGTTAATGAAGGTCATTTTTTTTTAATCTCTTCTTTTATGGCTCGCTACTTCTGAAACAAAACAAAAATATTGTTGTTGGAAAATTTACGCACTTGTGATGTAATTTGAATGAAATTTTAAAATTAGTCTTGTAAATTGATCAATGTAATTAAGCATGAGTAAATGTTTACTTATCTAATGGCCAACATTTTTATAGCCCCTCCTCTCACCTCCAATTCGTCTGACTTCATCATTGAGAAAAGAAGATTTTCTGGAAGCTAGGCGAAAGTATTGTGCTGAAAATTTCTTAATGCAACATTCTGTGTTTCGGTCGAATTTTGTTTTATTCCTTGGATCATGTTGAAGATGTACAGATGTTGGTTATGGAATTTATTATCCATTTTAATTTCAAACCAACTAACTGCATATATTTCAATTATAAATTTTATAAGGCTGTGCTTTATGGATTTCACTGATCAACGTTCCAATTTTGAACCTAAACTATGTTGGATGTCGGTTGAAGAAAGACCCTTGGCCTTACTTCCGCGGCATCAATGTGGGAACGGAAATCGGAATTGGTGATAACATAAACAGGAAATGCATCTGGTGGCTAAAATAAACAGCACACAGGTGTCCTGAGCAGAAGGAAATGCGTACTTGCGTGGGCGCATGTTGGAAGAGGCGTGGCCACACGAAGTTGCGTTGGCGACATACGGGAAGAATGCGTAACCACGTGAAGTTGCGTAGGTGTCCAGATGTCATATAACCAGTCCGATTCTTGATCTGGACAGGGAGGCTGGCTAGAGGTTCACCGAAGATTTGTCTCCGTCAATTCCTGTGTGCGCAACCCTAACCGGTGCTATTCTCCCTCACTCTATGCATTCGCCGCAACTCGAACAATAATATATATATATATATATATATATATATATATATATATATATATATATATAAGTGTTCGTTGCCTTATTTGAGCCCAGCAGCAATATGCAACACTTAATCTTTAAACTCGTTTCCTTATAAAATGATAGCAATTTGGAAAAAAATAACTATTTTGGGTCATTATTTATCATGCTAAACCCCAACTTTCAAATTTAGTGCAATATCAGCGTACTAAAATCGACTTGCTTCTTATCCATAAACAATTTGTGAAGCTTCAGTCGTTAATTTAATTATTCTTTCCACATCCTAGTAAATGTGTAGGTAAATTTGGCAACTCCAACGTCGTTCTATTCATTAGATCCAGTAGTGTTTGGTCTGTGAGCTGGCATTGCTAAATATCTGTGCACGAAGCAGTGACAAGATTTTTCTTAGTTTACTTCATTAGCCATCGTATTAAAGCGGCCAGTGAAGATCGAACTCATTGCATCGTCATATCATTTTTTTTTCTCATTTTCTTTGGTTCTCTTTTTCCCTCCTGCTTTAATCTATTCCTTCTTTTTCTCTACTCCTTGTTTTTCATTCTTTTTCACCCTCTTCTTTTTTCTTCTTTTTCTCTTTTTATTATTTACCTTCATTTTACACTCTCTTTATTCTTTTCTTCTCTTTTCATTCCCTTGTATTGTTTCTCCTTTTTCAACCTTTATATTCTTTTTAGTCTTTTGGTTTCTTTTATTTTCCTTCTTTTATTTCTATTTATTTTCCTTCTTTTTTTCTTTTTTCTTTTCTCTTTAATCTTCTTCTTTTTTTCATATTTATTTTTCTCGTTTTCCAGTCTTTGTTCTTTTCGCACTCTTCATTCTTTTTTCCTTTTCGTTTTTCCTTCTTTTTCACACTTTTTATTCTTTTCCTTCTTTTTCATTCGCTTTATTATGTTTCTTCTTTTTCACGCTCAGAATTCTTTTTTCTTCTTTTCACTCATTTTATTCTTTTCATTCTTTGCCCTTGTCTTTAAGCTTTTTATCTAACTCTTTTTGTATTTTTTCTTCTTTTTGCCCTCTCTTTAATATCTATGTATTTTCTCCTTCTTTTGTCCTTTCCTGCCTTGTATCATATTATTCTTTCTTTATCTTTACGTGATTGTTTCTTTCTTTTTTTCTTTCGAAAATTGGGAACTCTTTTCTTTCTTTTTGCAACAAGGTTTGCGGACGAGAAGCTGACAATCGAGAGCCTTCAAATTTTTTTCTTTTTCAGTCACATTAATGGTTAATCATTTAGGAATCCACCACCCAGACAACCCGCATTCAGCCAAGCCTCCTCATCTTTAATTCTCTTTTTGCGTTTGTCACACCCCTGACTTCTTTACCACTTTTCATGGTAGAAGTGTTTCACCTCTATTTCTTTTTGCCTCCATGTCTTTTACAAAGTTACCTTTAGCCGTTGATTTCTTCAACATGATATTTGGGGTTCTTGGCCAGTGCTTCAGATACAGCTGCTGCTCGGCTATCAACATACCGCAGACAGAAGGGTACACCACAAGCCAACGAGGCGATCCGTACCAGCACCTATTGCAACTGCAATGTTAAACCAAACCACCAGGCTTGCTTTCTTCCATTAAAATGCCCAGCATGGGGACAAACATGTCACCCATGCAACAAGGTTTGTCTTCTAAAATGCCCAGCATGGGGACAAACATGTAGTAATTGTGGGAAGCCCAATCACCTATCGAGGGTATGCCGGGCTAAGAAACCAGCTCAAGCGGTCAGGAAAAGCCTAGAGGCTAATGAAGCCGCCATGGACACACTTATCGCCCACTTTTTCCCTTTAGGATTTCTTCTTTCTAAGCACCTTTTTCATTCCATCAAGAAAAGTCGTCCGAGCTTTTTCCTGGTATGTCCTTTTCTTGGAATTCATCGTCCAAGGAAGAACAACTAAATGTTTACATATGTCGCCATTTCATTGATGGGATACTTCTTCCCGTAATCATCATCAAAAAATAACAACTCTAAACAAAAAATAACCCAAAGCATGGAACAAAAAAATTGTCTATTTCAATTTGCCGAAACGGCGTTCAATGGTCTGGTCTATTTGGCCCCACTGCACATATGATTTCAAACAGTGTTTTTTTCAATGAACCAACACAAATGTTATTTTCCGACAAATGCCAATTGTTTTCCAAAAACTAACCACGAAGAACCAAACCTGAATTCACAGTGCAAACGGGAAACACACCATATATATTCCATATACCTAAATAAAAAGAAAATATATATATATATATATATATATATATATATATATATATATATGCAAAGTAAAAATCGTGTATATATATCGAAGGAGCCTTTTATCACACCTTCGATTTTCCTCCATCCATGCAAAAAACGGCATCGTAATTAGAGAAAAATTCCAATACGTATCGATATCAATATACATTTAAATCCATGCCAAAATGGCCTGGCAATGTTCACTCCATTGCCAGATCATGGTTTTCGGTCAACCAAGTCGTCTGTCTGCGAACCATTTCGTGATCTCGTAAAATCTCCGAGAATAAGCGTCGTTGCCAGATTGGAGCAAAGCTCTCTATATGAATGGACAGTTTGCTGCCCTTTGGCGCCTGAATCTGACTGAACGCAGATGGTATCGAGTTGGGGGAATGGGTTCCGAAAATCAAAACTCAGAAGTCTGGAGACAAGAGATAAAGAAAATAGAATGATGTGAATACTTTCCTCATTGTTATAAACCTTCACTGTATCGTAGGCGTCACAGCCATTACAGATATCAGCTTAGATGTTATCACAGCAATTTCATCAATTTTTGATCAATCACAATCATATAAAAGCCAGTGGGGTCTAGGATACATTGATCTAACTTTAAAAGAAACTTATACGGTCGGCAATATTCATTATCTTCAAAATTCTCTGTGTGTTCGTCATGGGATAATGGCGATGAAAAGAGCCAACATGACACCATTCCTGATTGGCCATTTCAGCAAACATGGACATCTTCCTGGTGACGCCTGACGCACAAAGTTACCAACCTTTTGTTTTTGTTGATCATTCAAGAATATAGTGGGACACCTCGACGTGGTGTGAATGGCCACCCTTCACATCTCTTCCATTCAAGCAAGTTTGTCGCGATAGATCAAGGAATTGACGATTGAATACGCCCATTCAAAACATTGGGCTATCCCTGTCCACCGCCGACTACGTGACTACATACCATCCCACCCAACAGTTCGATCCTGAGATAAGTTTGTCCCGGCGGAACGCTCGTCTCATAGAGCGATACAACAGGTGCCTCCTACCCTTTCAAAAAGGACCTTGTGACCAACAATCGATGGGGACACAACAGGTCAGGGTCATTGAAATCCTCCCCAACCACCAATACCAACAGAGTTGACGGAAGGTATATACGAAAGTGAATCAAAACATTGAGATATAACTGCAACAAACAGTCGACCTGAATAACATCAAACACTTTTTTCCAAACATTGTAATCTTCAGGTTTCTTCTTCTTCGATTCAATAATAAAAAGCACGTATGTCCCTTCAGGGCGTAAAGGGTTGATCATGTGCTCAGGTACTACCAGCCAATCAGAGCCCAAGCAATGGACTATTCTAAATAACTCTGTCTCTATGTTGAATTGTCTTCACCGCTTGCTCCACAAAAAGTGGTTAGATACGTGATTGTTCGACATATATATATATATATATATATATATATATGTATAATTATATACGTTGTATGTTCTCCTTTGTAGCTTTGACATATGAGCGAACGATATATATATAGTTGGGGGCTGGGTTCCGAAAAATCAATATATAGCAATATTTGTCTTTTTGTCAAGCCATTTGTCTACCCTCCATTCCGCCATCCATTCTCACAAGCTTTTTCTATATGAATGGGTAGTTGACCCACTGCCTTAGTCTCTGTCCCTTCTGCCTTCACTGATAGGCGTCCTCCTTATTGAACGCTTGATGTCCAATTTTAAATTTCAGCATTATGTCTCTGTGTGTTTCATGGGATAATGGCGATTCTGATTTAACCTTTTTTTTTTGTTGATCATTCAAGAATATAGTGGGACACCTCGACGTGGTGTGTAATGGTTATCAAGTTTGTCGCGATAGATCAATGACGATTGAGTAGTGAGTTCGATCCTCACTAGGTGCCTCCTACTTTCGGCCTACCCTTGAGATATATTGTTTTTTCCATACTAATCTTCTTCTTCTTCTTCTTCATGCCATGTCCCTTCAAGAAAATCATTAGTTAGCACAACAAGTCTACCCTCCATTCCGCCATCCATTCACACAAGCTTTTCAGGTAGTTGACCCACTGCCTTAGATAGGTTTGTCCTATCGCCTTTGGTTCATTTCTCCTCCCCAATCTTTTGAAAAACAGTTACAACAAGTCTAATTAGAGGCTTATCTCTTGTATCCCATTTAAGATTCGGTTTCCTTCTAAATTCTACTTTAATTTTATACTTGTAACTTTTCTATCTAATCTCTAAAATGTTAATAGGAGTAAATAGTTTCACATATCGTTCGGTTCACACTCTTCCTCAGTTTTTATGAACCGTTGTAGTGATTTATCCCTTGTTTCTTGTTTAGGATTCGAATTGTGGTTCCCTTTAAAGTCTTTTCATCCTCTTTCACTTCCAGTAGCCCCTTGAATCTTAGTGGCATTATCGCCTTGCTTGGAGCGAACTGATTAAAAAAAAAAAGAAAAAAAAAGTGAAATTCTTTGTGCTGTTGATTCGCTTGTCCCGATGTTTCGTTAAAAGGGAACTCTCTCTCTCTCTCTCTCTCTCTCTGTGAAATTAATATCTAATGAAGGATGCAGAATGGAACGACCTAAACCTTGTATTAAATAAAGCAACAGTTGTTAAAATAAACATTTGACTCTACCGGTATCTTTGTCTTCTATGTGCTGTGCCTCTTTAGGGCGTTGGCGATAAAAGCTCTCCTCAATTTCCTGTCCTTTGTAGCTCTTCGCAAATTTTGTCATTTTATTATCTCACCATGACCCTGTTCTGCTATCCATTTCCACAAGCCCGTTAGGCACATTATGCACTATTTGCTTGCCTTCAATGCATCCTGTGGGTGTCAAATTTTCTAAGCCCTCTTTCCGCATTATGTGCCCTAGAATTTTCAATATAACCTACTGGAATACATGACATATTTGAAGAAATAATACGTTTCTCTGAATAACATCTGGGTCTCTGGCCGAGAAGCAATCTCTTGTAATTATTTCAATTTGATTGCTCACATTGTTGTGGCCTTGTGCCAGGACCTAAATAAATGTCTACTGAATGCCTAAGTACTGCTAATAAACTATCGTCTTAAACCATTAATTCTCCTATGTGTCCTACGTTATGTCACGAGTCCCGTAACGCGTTAGATCGTAAGGATTATCATATGTAGTGCAGCCATAGCAGAACTGGTGTGTTTAGGGCAAGATCTCACTTTAGGGGGGTTTGGGATTTAGTTTTAATTCTACTAGACTGGTTGAAATCTCAAGGCAGTCTTCCCTGATATTTAACCCATAGCTAAGGGAAGATGAACTTATACCTTTTCTAGGCAAAAAATTCTACACTTGTGGAAATATAATAAATTTGTGGGAGCATTTTCAACAATCTGCGATCTTTAGAAATAATTATAACACGGGTGGGAGAGATAGATAGATAGATAGAGAGAGAGAGAGACAGAGAGAGAGAGAGAGAGACAGAGAAAGAGAAAAAAGTAGTTGCTCAGAATGAGAGAAAGAGTGCGACAAACAGAAACTTGCGCAGTGTGTGTTTGTGTGTGTGTGTGTGTGTGAGAGAGAACTCACTACTCATAGCGAATAGTAGAGGATAAGATAGAGAGAAAAAAGAGAAATAGTGGGATTGTAAGAGAGAAGAGCATTTCGCTGTATGTGTGAGAGAGAGAAAGAAAGAGAGATTCCTTTGCACAGAGTTTGAGAGTAAGGGAGAGAGAAAATGTGAAAGAGAGAAACAAAAGAGTGAGTGGGAGAAAAGAATGAAAAAAGCCGGCCGCACATATTGATTTTGAGAGAGAAGAGCGGTTTTCCAGATAGATAGATAGATAGATAGATAGATAGAGAGAGAGAGAGAGAGAGAGAGAGAGAGAGAGAGGCAGAGAGTGTAATTGAAAGAGTGAGAGAGAATTGTAGTTGCACAAAGAAAAAGAGATAATGAGAGACATGTTAATGTCCACGATTTGCAGTCGCACGTAATGTCTGAGAAAGCCAATGCATGTAACAGTATGATCATCGATTTTAGGCAGATGTTGTTGCTTTTCCAGATGGCTTTTGGTTTTGTATTACATGTCATTGTTTTATCATTATCTCTATTCTGGAGACCTCCTTGGTGATAATCGAGCCAAGATTTTGGAATTAACACACTCCTTTAAGTTCCTGACCGAGAACTTTATCTTGGTTGAAAGATTTTTGATTGACTGATTCGTTTTCTACGGCTTATCAACACTTTGCAGATTATGTGAAGCCAGAAAATAGTTTTAGATTATCCGAATTATTTTTGGAGATAATGATTTAGCGATACAAGTCTTACTATTTAATTCATAGCTAGGGGTAGGGGAGAAGTGGATTCATGCCTTTTCCAAGGTTATTTACACGTAAGTGAATATAACGGACCGAACCGAACGAGAACTGGAACTCGACTCTCCTATTAACAATTCCGAGCCGTTATCAATTCCATCACCCGAACAGCACTTGGTATTCCCAAGCGGTCACTCATCCAGGTATTGACCATGTTCGACGTTGCTTAAATATCTGGTTGAAAGCTATTTGTCATGAGTTTGCATAAAATATTACTATGTTTTGAAACTATCTTTATCTACACCGAGAGATATTTGTGTAAGATGTTTGAAGTGCTAATGACTGTGTTTTTTTTTTTGTAATTGGCATGTTTTACCAGAGATTTAGTCTACATCGTTCCCAGTGCTCCGATAACTACAGGTAGTATGATTATTTTGCGATGCAACGTTCAGCCAATTTCTATATCAAGATGTTTTTATTTGCGTAGAGGAGAGTTTTTTTTTTTTGGGTCAGCTGGTACTGTGCCATCTACTAACTGGCACGTTTTTCCGGCATGATTTTTAACGATATCAGATTGATTAGCTTGAATTTCCCTGTCTGTTTGTACATAAAGCTCTAAACGGCTGTGACATTTGCATTTTGAACTATGCGTGGTTTATGCTTCCATCAGTTCAGTCTACGAGGAAGGTCAAGTTTGCAACATATCACCCAATGGATGCACTGGGTTGCACTATCGTTTTGTTGCGAATACACTCTTTACACTGAGAGATTATGCGATCAATTACCTCGAGGTGTTTTCCACACACAAACACGCGCGCACACACACACACACTCGACATAATGTATTCTTTAGTTTCTGGCTTAATTATTATTATTATTATTTTAATGATTTCGCGCCAAGCATGGCGATAATGCCACTAAGATGTAAGGGGTTATTGAGAGTGAAAGAGATTGAGAAGAGAAAGGAAAGTATAAGAATAGGATTCAGGAAGAAAGAAGATGCTTATTTTCTATAGGGTGGCGACTGAAAAACTGAATATTTGAAGATAGTCATAACTTGTTCGTTTTCAATATTTTTAATTTTCTTTTTTTGCACGTTATAAAGCATCCATTGGAGATTAAAATCGCTATGTATGATGCTCAGCAATGACTAAAACTCACTGAGTTTTTCTATTCCAATGAAAGATCAATTATTCAAATAATACCGGCAAGATTTTAACGTCAAACTATCTCCTAGCGATAACATGATTCGGAACCAAATCGCCTGGTTTGAAAGAACTGGATCAGTCGCTGATCTTCTGGGAAGAGGTCCTAAGCGCACTGTGCACACTGGCACAGCGGTGTAAGCTGAACGCCAGGATCTATCAGCTTCTACCTGTCGTCGATCTGCTCAACTAGGCATCGACAAAAGATTCTGAAATTGGATTCAAATAAAATAATAAAAAATTTAAAAAAAATATTTGTAAACGTTATTATTGTATTATATCATTCAGTCTTTAAGTGGCCATTTATATTTAATAAACTAACAAAATTCACAAGACCAAATGGTTCAAGAAAAATGTGTTACGTCGATATGGCAAATAATAATAATAATAAAAAACAACAGCCGGTCAAATTTGAAAAATAATCTCTCAAAACCCTATTAATATTTGGCTTCCTACATCGACGTTTGGCATCGATGGTATGAGGCAATCTTTTTACCCGGCCAGTTAGGCCACAATTACTTACTAAAATTTGTTTGGTTTGGCATATGGTTTTAGTAGTGACCTACACAGTTGGGATCAAACATTTTGTTGGATAGATCGATGCAAAATTCTAACCATTGCGCTACTGTAGGCGGTCAAATTGAAAAATGATCTGTACGGTATAAAACCGAATTTGGTATAACAGGGAAGGAAACTTTGATACTCCAATCTTTTTCTAAGTTGGAACAGAATTTCTCTTTCTATCTATCATGCAAGGATGCGTACATCATTGCCCTCCACAACTTAGTCTATTTTGTTGCTTTAAGTAATTCTGGTTTAATGACTAAACTACTTGCTTTGAAAATCAATGGTTGGCAAAGCAGGGACTTTGCACTTTGGTAGGGGCTTAAATTGAAAATGATTTGTACGGTATAAAACCGAATTTGGGATATTGAGGAAACTTTGCTACTCCAATCTTCTAAGTCGAGATATAATTTTTTTTTTCTCTCTATGATGCGTACATCATCGCCCTCCACAACTTACTCTATTTTGTTGCTCTAACTAATTCTGGCTCCATGACTAGACTCCTTGCTTTGAAAAGCAATGGTTGGCAGAGGAGGGTAAAAGAGGAACGGTAAATAATCAAAGGTTTCTTAGAGCTACAAGAGGCACGAAGTTTTTGAGAGAGAGGATCGACCACACCCTGAAGTGAGGCAGTATATAAAAGAAAAGAAAAAACAATCAAATGCAGTACATCTTTTACAATCTATAAAACATTAACGCTGAGAAAATTGGTTCCCAATGAGATTCAGGAAACGAATATAATTCAGCGTTTCATTAATTGTCTTTCGCAATACAAAAAAGTCATTTTTGGCCAATGAAGTAACTAACTAGAGATGGCAAAATAAGTTATGTACCAAAAGTGAAAATATAAAACTACGGCTAGGCTCCGAACAAATTTCAATATACCAAGATAAATAGAATATCTGCTTGGAAGGGAAAGTTTCATGGGATTCAAAGAGTATTCTTTATAATCTTTATATGCAGGAATCTAGATAAAATCTTACTGCATGAAATTATTGTGATTAATTTGACTCATTTTAATGACAGGCTAGATGAGAAAATAAATCTCTTCCTAAGGAAGAAATTAAATAAATGATTTTGCTTTATAAGAAGCCCTTCCTCTTGTTGGAAATGCGACACATCTTTGAGCTGAAATGAGAATGTTCTTCATTGACTGTAAATTCCCCAAAATTATTACCATCAGGCTATCGCTAGTTTCATTCTGTGCAAAATTCCTTTTCTTGATAGTTATTTCAACAAGTTTAAGATTTCTTGAAGTGTTCCTTGAATTAGGAGTGTTATCGTTCACTTATAATGAAATACATCAGTGTCGGACAAAAATAAATAAATAAATAACCGCTTTGAAACTATTATAACTTAGCTAATACATACTTTTATTAGTCAAAGTAAACATCATTGTGATCGAGACAACATTAGCAGTAAGTTTATTCGATCACAATAAAAACGAGGATCGATGGGGTCGATAAACTGCCGGAAGGAATTTTCATTTCCAGCCTCATTTGTATGCACTTTCTGCATCAAGGACACATCCCCGAGGGAGTAAAATGTTACATAGATGAGTAAAGGGGCAAATGGTAAATAACGGGTGCATTGAATAGGCAGGGTTTAGCAGAACCTCGTTGCATAAATGTATTTGATCTTAGCGGGTGGTTTGTGAATTGTGATCCTGCTGCAGGATGGGTCGCTTTCTGTCCAAAATCTCCTCTTTCCTGTTCCTATCTACATTTAGTATCTATCTATCTATCTATCTATCTATCTATCTATCTACACTAGTCTGTTATTTCCTATCTATCTATCTATCTATCTATCTATCTATCTATCTATCTATCTGTTATTTCCTATTTATCTATCTATCTATCTATCTAGTCTGTTATTTACACTAGTCTATCTATCTATCTATCTATCTATCTATCTATCTATCTATCTATCTATCCTAATCTGTTATTTCCTATCTATCTATCTATCTATCTATCTATCTATCTATCTATCTATCTCAGTCTTGTCGTATGTCAATCTGCTAATATCAATAATAGCGCATTCATAGCTGTCGATCTCTGGACCTACCTCAATCTCTCTCTCTCACTTTCTGTTCTTCTCTCGCTTTCTCTCTCTCTCTCTCCTTTTATTCTAATTGTATCACCATTTCCATTCGCAGGGAAACAAACCAATTTTCACTTCAGGCAGCGAAAGACAAATGTATTGAATTCAGTGCCGTCAGCATTTTCTAGATTCCCTTTTTGCTTTCTTTAACCGAATACATGTCTTCTTACTTGCACGAGATTTATTCTTTGGCGTTCTTTTGTCTTGTCATCCAAAAGAGCGGCAAAGCTGTGTTGTCAACAGAAAGAACAGAAGAGTGTCAGAGAAATAGACAAACTAATAGACACTTAACAAGAGGCATGGAAAATGATTGTACTTCGAGGTTGGCAGGCTTAGTCAGCAATCTGACGTGTGGAATCCCGTGTTTGTTTATTTGCGTCTATTTTCAAACAATACTTAATGAATTCTTAATGAATAAATGCGAACAAACTATAAAGTTCGAAGTGTAATAACAATGAACATACTGTGAGAGTCACATACACGAATACAAACATTTTAATTTAAAACAAAAACAATATCACATAATGCCTCATATTTCAAAATTAAGGTGAATCTTGATTTTTGGCAAATGTTGCGATTCGTGTCACTATTGCATTCAGTCATTTATACCTCAAAGACAAATCATAGACTGTATAAAGAAAGGACGATTTCTTTTTTCATATTCGCTTTATTATACGAGAGGGACAGACGTGGCAGCATCGATTCTAGAAGGTAGCGGGAAGAAAACCTTCGGAGAGACGCATGCCCACTGGTTGGTCTATCATTATACCACGTGCGGTCTAGCCTCTCTGAGGAATGTAGGTGCGGAGAGCGTCTCGACTCGTCAAAATAGTCACAGCTCTCCTCTTTTTGATCCGTTTTGATCTTATATCTAAAACTAAGGCAAAGTCGATTCATCGCTGTCATAATTCCACGGTCACGTTTGCTATTCTGGCTCCGCACCCCGCCCCGCCCCGCCCCGCCCCGCATTCCGAAACAGTCGAAAAATTTAAACAGTCGAAAACTTTAAACATTAAATTAACTGGCATCAACTGTTGACAGTTTCTTCACACTTTCAATTTTTATATATGGGAATCAATGCGTTAATAAAACTTATTTAATATACCGAGTGCGAGAGAGAGAAAGCTGTCCATTTATGAAACGATATATAAAGATAACGTTATATAAAGATAACGTTATATAAAGATAACGTTATATAAAGATATGACGAATGTAAATATATGCTTTATTGCTGCAGATTATAAACACACACACAAACATGCTCTCATACACACGCACAGACGTATTTCTATTACACTAACATGTTCAAAATATTGCAATGTGAAATTATAATAGCGAAAACACTGCCCAAATATGTAACAATCCGAATTTACGCCATTTTTCACCTCTCGGGATTGATGTAGGCTTCATAGCTAAGGGGAAAGTTTTACCATTTCGTTTCTCTGAACAGAGAGATTTGGCCATTAGAGGTTTAATTGCTGCCTGTAGGCTTCAGCGGCCGAGTACAGACATACGTAATATCATATAAGGACAAATATATAAGACACACGATACTTAGATACACGAAAACACGCACTAGCACACACGTAAATGTTTATGTATGTTTGGTGATTTTCTAAGCGTAGCTTAAATATGGCACAAGGCCGAAAGTACGGAGCACCCAGTGAGAATCGAACTTACTATTCAGTCGTAATTGATCTAGCGAGACAAGATGGTGATTTTCTAAGTTAGATGTGACAAAAGGCTGAAAGTATCGTGATATAGTGATCCTAGTGAGGATCAAACCCACTACTGATTCGTAATTGTTCTAGCGAGACAAGCTTGTTAACCATTACACTACACCGAGGTGCCCATGTCTATGTAGGTATGAATGTATGAGAATCTGCGCAAGTTTCAATAATTTTTAAAGAAAAAATGTTTCATACTTTGTCTTTAGGAGTCAAAAACACTGCACTAGAACTTTTGCGCACTCACTCACACACACACACACACACACACACACACACACACACACACACACATATATATATATTCATACATGTTTCATTAAATGATATAGACAAGTGTTGTCTATTTATTTTAGGTAAATTCTTTTCATAACGTCTGATAAGCTTAATAACATTATCGTTGAACGAAGAAAGAAAATCACAATATTGATCCATATTTTTTAATCCAATCTAATATTTCGGCTTACATAAGCCATTATCAAAAATGTCAATTACAACATATTAAGCAATATACGGACAAGACAGTGATGATAGTCTGTGATTATTTACATGGATGATTTCCTAGCAACGAGCATATAAGACGCTAGAAGCGAAAATCGCACCGCAGCTCATGACGTCACACATGACCACGAGAGAGTGAATTGGAGAAGTATTAAGTATGGGAAGCCAATGGTATAAACCAATAGCTTCTGTTACCAATTATAGACATTTAAGGATATTTGTAGAGTTTCCATAGTTAATTTTGTTTAGGTTAGGTTTCAACTGTTTGATGTATAATGCTTCAAGGATTTTTAGTTTTTGTCTATTGTTTTCATGTTTAAGTATAATTGTGTTTTCGACGAGGATTTTACGGAATTGAGTGTGCGGTCAGGCATGTTGTTTTAAATGTCTAAAAATGTTAGAGTTTTCATTCAAATGTAGTGACAAGCATCGTGAAAATATAAGCATATAAACGCGATGACATCATCATCGGACTAAATTATGCTGCTGCGACTCCACATGCGCACGAACGAGCATGCTGGAAATTTTAACTTTAAATTTTTTTTTTTTTTTAATCTAGCCGATTTTATTTAGGTTTAGATTCTTTTTCATTTTGAGTCCATCATTTTTGTTAGTAGATATCCCAAACTGTGATAATAAAAGTTCTGCCAGGAATGAGGACATTTTGTAAGAGCCCGGGCGCGTTTTTACTGTGGATGACCTTGCGATCAATGCAACCTCTAGACATTTTCGTAGTAGTGATTTACTTCCTCCTTTGATCAGAGTAGCATTTTTATGTCAAGATTGTGGTCAGTCTCGTTACAGTGCACAACCAATGTATGTCTCTTTTGCTTTCAGATAATGTTTTACTTAGATTCCTTGAAGTTCCTCTTATGTATTTTTGTGACAATTATTACAGGCAATCGAGTATCAAATTTTAGCTTATTGTTTTGACTAAGTTTTTTTAAAGTTTTAGATATAGTGTTAACAAATTCTATGTTAAGTTTAGATAGATTCTTTCCAATTGTAGATGTGATAGAGTTAGTTGGTAGGACAATATTCTTTTGATATTGGATGAATTAAAAATTGAAGGAAGAATTTTAAACCGTTTTTTGGAAACACTGAGGAGATTTAAGGAAACTTATTGCTATTTACTCGCCAATGATAGCCAACAAACATCTGGGACGTATTTCAGCCAATACAAGGATCACAGACGTGCTGTGGTTTCCCTCTGTCTTTTCTAAAAGTGTTTTTATGGCAACTGCTCCGACCAGGTACTTGCGCTGTTTCCAAAACCGTATGAATTTAAGCGTGTTACTAAGATGGCATCTCGGTCCCACCCTTTCACTGTGGAAACGGCCAAATATACCCATCTCTTCTACCCCAACAGCTTTTTATCTCGCACCTCCTGTCAGTGGAACTCCCTATCATTTGCTTCCCTGATAGCCATAATCTTCAAATATTCAATTGCAATGTCAATCGACATCTTCTGATGCCCTGACCTTGAATCCTGGTCTTCTCTTTATCCTTTTCTCAAACGCTCCTCTTTACTCTCATTCTCTGTAACCGCAGGCGTGCTATTGGCACTCACGCCTTTTTTCGTGATTTGCTTTGAAGAAATGGCACTTTGACGTGGTGTAATGTTTAGCAAGCTTTGTTTTGTTACATGTAGCTATTTCAAGAGTAAAAAGAGGAGACCTAATAGCCAATCTAGTAATCCGCTTAAATTCACGAGGTCGAGATACCAAGAAGGAGAGCGATATTTATTTGTGAAAATACAAAATGTGGCACAAGGCCAAAATGGGGGAAGGAGAAAAAGACGGTTTTCTGTCTTAAATTAAAACCCAGCCAGCCACAATCACCGACACAAACATACCACAATATTCCTAACACCAAAACAACGCATTCTTACTCACCATTCTTGCTCCAACCACCATAATACCTCAATTTCTCTATAAAAAACATAACTAGTGGTTATATGTGCAATTCACGTCTTTGGGGGTGGGTAGGGGGAATAAAACAACAATTTAAAAACTAACACGAAAGTCTATTTACAAGATGAAAAATGTATTTACAAGAAACCAAACAAAATAATATTAGTAATACACCCCCTCCACAATCCTTAAATATGGAAGAAACATCAAGAATGCGAGATCATTAGAAAAAATGCAATGAAAATATTTATAGAAAATACAGAGAGAAGTCACGTCACGGCGATAGGTATTGGCCGATAACATTACAGACCCGACTTCGGATTTTGTTGAGAATCCAAGAAAAATATAACAGGGACACCAAATCAGATATGGCAACAGTATTCAATGTACAGCAGAAAGGTAGTTTTATAAATGAGCAAGATGGATTCTGGCGCGGAAAATTGTCTGGCATGGCATAGTAGACCAACTTTCCTTGCAGTAGACGTAGCAATTGATTCGATATAGTCGTTCCACTTCACGTCAGTGAGGGTAAGAAGGCACAATAATTTGCATTTTTGGAGGTTAGCATCAGCCATGTGGATGTAAGTAAAAAATGGTTGTCTATGATGATTAAAGTATAGAAGTTTTGTTTTGAAGGCGTTTAAATTTACAAGCAATTTCTAACCCCAGTTAACCCTGCGTTAGTCCCATGGGGTGTTTCGGTACCCCAAATATTTAAAGTATTGGTAATTCCTAGCTAGTAACTTGTTTCTTTTGCTCACTTCAACTACTCTCCTGATTCAGTGAGGGTGTGTAGTACGCAGTTGTAGCTCAGTTGTCGTGGAAGTCAGAAGCCAGGAGTTTCGGAAATCCTAGGAAACTAACGCCGGGGTAACAACTGTTTGAAGGTTAC